TAAAACCCTAACTTAGCCACCATTGGAGAAAAGCTTAGTTAATAGCTTATTTCTTCATTTTGGCCTCCTTCCATTCACCTTAGACCATAAACCTTGGGAGACAAAAGTTTCCTCTCACTTTCCTCTTCATAACCCTAGATTTGTTATCCATTTTGAACTTAGTTGCTTTGGATTATAGAGATTCAATTCTCTATTTAGGTAGGGGTGGTAGTATGTTTATACTTCAAGTGTTTTAAGTCTTTTGGGGTTAAATATATATTGTGTACATGTTTTTAATATGATAGTCTTGCATATTATAGGAAACCCTTATTTTTGATTTAGGGTTTATTGATTTAATCATGTAGAATTTGTATATACCTTGTGTAGAAGAGTTATATGATTTAGTAGTATGCTAAATTCTAGTATTTTTACATGTGATAGAGATATAGAATTCTTGTAGAATTATTAATGTTATGTACAATTCCTATGAACTTGAATTACTATATTTGTGGTGGTGATAATTCTATATTCTTGTTGATGACTAATTGTGATTATTTTAGAAGCTAATTACTGTGATGTTAAGAATTAGCATATAAAGCTTATTGTTGAGGCATGCTTTAAATTGATAAGTTGGTGGTATTGTTTTATACATTATATCATGATGAGAACTTGTAATTATTATGCCATTCTAGACTTGGAGCCCTAAAACATAGTTTGTGTGGTTTCAAAATACTTGTGCATGGAAGGTGGTATATATGTCTTAATAATTGTGTATAAGTTTTGAACTTGATATATTTTGGATTCTCTTGGGATATTGTTACAAATGACATGGCTAGAGTTTGGCTTCAATGCGGGAGGTATGAGTTCTCCCCATTAATAGTGCGTACTAGGGTGGTATTCCAAGCGGGTTAATACCCAGAATAACCGTTTAGGTTTTGGCTTTATCCGAGATTTGATGTCCAAGTTTTCCACTAATTGATTTCACATTCATTTCCAAGTTGACAACTAATGTTTAATTGTGACTTGTGATTTTGGTTATTGGCGAATTAATGTTGTTAAGTACATTGATATTTTTATTGTGTTATGATGGAATCATTGTATTAGCTTAAGATGATCCCTTAGAACACCTTGAACATAGACGTTAAGTGGAATGGTCCCTTGTATTCGTCTATATTGATCTTGCAATGATATTGAAACTTTAGGGTATACGCAAATACTTCTTTCTACGAGTAACTTGATTACTCACCCTAGTTGTGTGGGTTATTTTACAGGTAAGGAGACTATGTTCTCGGATGCTCATCATCCTTAGAGACTTATGAGCAATTTGGAACATTTTTGTATATTGACATGCACGTGTTTAACTTGCTTTCCTTTTGGATGTTATACTTTGTATACCATGGATGTATGGTATTTTGTAAGCTAAGATGGCTTTTTGATGTATAATGTGTATTTAAGTACACTTGATAATACTCTTTTTATATGTATAACATGAGGCCAAGGGCCATTAAACTTCAAGTTGATATGTATGTTTTTCAAACACAAGTTTTGCCTTAATGGCCTATTTTGTGAAAATGGGGGTTTGAAAGGTCAAATTTTGTAAATAGATTTAAATGAGTAGGCCATTGTGGTGCGTCTAAAACACCATTTTACGTTTGCGGGCATGCTCGTACTCCATAAAACTCTTAAGTGGCAACTTTTGAACTATTTTTGGATCGATTTATGAATTTTTATGCAAAATTCATGCATGGGAGTAAGTTTCAAGTTCTCTTTGGTTTAGCATGTTGTTTATGCTTGAATGAGGCTAGGAAACGTGTTTAAACTTGTTTCGGATCAAATGGAAATCATACATTGCATCAAGGTTGGACCGAGTTCATTTTTCACACATTGTAGCAGTAACTTTTTGCTGTTATTTGCATTGTCGGTCAGCTGATGAGGGCCATCAGCCGATTGCCACATCTTCAAGGAACCATTCCAGTAGCCTTTTTAGGAAAAATCATCATTTCGGCCGACTGATGATTGGGGTTCAGTGGACCGATCCTCCCTGGAGCTATTTTCTTCATTTTTTTTATTGGACAGCTTTTTTACATTGACTTCATGAGGCCATAACCCTTTCATTCCTAATCCAAATTGGGTCGTTCTTGAGTCTAAATTCAAGAGCTTGAAGTTGGCTTTCCAATGGTACCAGTCACACATCAAAATTCCAAATGTCACTTTGTTTCATTTTTCATATCTTTTCCATCCGGTCTCTAAATCAGGCAATTCTTGAGTCCAACGTCATCCATTTTTTTGTTGTCTTTCTGATGGCATACACGATGGCATCCATTTCAGTTTGAAATGACCATTTTACCGTTGGTTCATTTCTTATCAGGTTTGACATTCTTGCTTCATTGCTTAGCTCATTTGAGTTCCATGGCTTCATGGGGAGTCATTTTGGTACCTTAGGGATGACGTACATCTCTAGAGGTCACTTTTCACATTTCATTTCAGCATTTCGGATCCGTTATCGGGTCATCTTTTGGTCACCACTGACGCACCGGGTTTACAAAACTTGGGCCGTCTCAAGCTGTCAAAATATAGATTTGGCATGCAAAAATAGCTTTTAGCATTGGAGATGGTCTTAGGCTGATGGAAGAGTTGTCTCTTAAGCATGACTAGCACGCAACTCCAGAGCTCTAGAGAAGCTCTTTGAACCCTCGCCTAGAAGCTATCAAGTTGAGAAGCTGTGTCAGGTCAAGCAACCATATTCTGTTCATTAGGTCATGCACTGAAATTACAGATACTGTAGTGACACCAATAGGCCTAGCGGTACCAAGCTTTTACTTCTCAAAAAGAGGTAAGGGGTCGAGTCTCAATGGAGGCATATGTGTGTGAGTACCAACTAAGAAAAAAAAAAGAGATACTGTAGTGACCGGTTTCTGACTTTCTTCAATGCCCTAGAGTGCTCGAACAAAGGAGATAGCCTATCAGAAACTGACAAGTGGCCATTGCTGCCAAAAATTAAATACGGCTATCAGAGATGTAACTGATATTTAAATAAAAATTATAAATACTAGTAAAATATTATTATTATTTATTCCCATTATTTCATCATTTTAATATTACCCTGTCCAAAAAGAATATTTCTTTTGAAGAACTGACTTACAAATTGTGAGTTACAGTTTTTTAAAAGAGACATTTATTTTTGGACAGAAATAATATAGAGAAATGATAGGTCTTCCGATCTCAATTGTCGACTCCTTATCCGAATTCAACATGGTTGGATCACGTTGAAACTCTTAAATTTTTTTTTTTCGTAAATATCTCTTTCTTTTCGATTCATTTCAAACCACGTTGTATTTAGAGGAGGAGTCGGTAATTAAGGTTAAAAGACCAAACATTTTTCAATAGTATATTAATGATATAAAATGTTGTTAGACTCGTGTAAGTAAGGAGAATGTGTAATTAATATTCACTTTACATTGTTATTTTCTGAGTTAATGATGAGGAGGACAATTTGCCCCTAATTCGCTTGAAACTCGCTCCTATGACGACTAGATTCACGCTGTGTTCAGGAAGTGTGACTGCCCCCATTTTTCTTTGTCCAAGTATATTGATCTGTTTTGTTAAGTTAGTGACGAATTAAGGAATTCCTTGCCCTGATCCATCTCTTTGAAATCTTTAATCTTTAATTATTATTACTATTATTTTTTTTAAATGAAAGGGTACTGCTAATGAAAATCTAACATGATAGGTAGATTAATGGTTCATATATTTTTGATAGAAGACTCGTAGCTAGAATTGAATTGGGTGTTTCGAAATATTCTGTTTGGGCTTTTCCATTTTTTACAGTAATTTCCAACCACAATAAGCAAAAACTTAAAGATTTTTTGCCCCAAAGAAAAAACTTAAAAGAGTTTTGTAGAATGATTAAAGTCCATGGGGAGTGAGAATATGAAAATTTTTCCCATTATAGAATTCAAGCAAAGTATTGGCCCCCACTCTCTCGAACTTTGGATTTAGCAGATTTTTAAAAACATACCATCTCAACCCAATTTTCAAAAATGTATTCCAAATACATATTTTGATTAGATTTTTATTTTTATAGAAATTTCTTTTTAAAAATTTGGCTTCTAATTAAAATCTTGCTAGTAAGAAGTTTTCCCAAAATTATTTTATTTATTTATTTGTTTTTGTCCATGAGAATGTCTTATTTTGACAAAGCGACTATCTAGAAAGGGCTTTGCTTCCCAAATAATTTCTTATTTTGCCTGAGCATCCAACATGAAACACTGCAAAAATCTGTAAAATTTAGACATTATAGAAATACATCCATAGATGTATGATAATATTCAAAAGTAGAAAAAATAGATACAAACCAAATTATTAAAATGTGCGAGGTATTAGGAGCCTGCTCAGGTTGCTCAGTGGATAAAGGGTGATCAGTGATTCGAATGTCATAGGTTTGTTTCCTATAAGGTGTGATTTATAGATCATTGTATACATTCGGACTTTGTAAACCATCCTATAGTCCAAAGCAGCTAATTCGTTAAAATAATAAATAAAAAAATGTGTTAAGCAACACCTAAAATTAGTTGGAAGGTAAAATTCGTTAATAAAATGTAGTTGGATCGCTGCACAACGTAAAATTAATTGATTAATTTTTGTTAAGCTAATAAATGAAAATCTATTACATGTATAACATAACGTGGACGACCAAAAAGGAGAAATGAAACATGCTACATATGGTTAGATTACAAAAGTTAACACTAGCCATCAATGTCAAAAATTATACATTGTTGAAATCAAGCAAATTGGTTAAAGACTTGGTCATTGAGGCAAATTAAACAATCCCTAAAATTATTTGTCTCCAAATTTGTACACACCTTCAAAATCTGTGCTGTATATAAAAATTTCCATGAATTCGGATACTAAAAATGGAGGCCTCTATTCAAAGCGTCTACAACCCCTCCCTCCATCTCTTTATATAAACCTCCATACCAATACACGAAAACCATAAGCAGCCTTGAGCGGTTGGCATTGCAATGAAGGTCTCCGGTAGCTTTCTTTTCCTCTCCCTTTTGCTCTCTTCATTTTCATCCTTTGCCTCGGCTCATAACGAACTGAAGGATGCAAAGGAAAGTCTTCCCAAGGTGTATGAGGTTTATCTCAAAGATCTTGGTGGCATGAAATTTGCAAATATCAGGCTCAGGAATGCTTATCTTGCCCTTCATTATTGGAAATCAGGTTTTGTGTCTGACCCACATAATGTTACTGGCAATTGGGTTGGTGAGAATGTGTGTGCCTACTCTGGTGTTGTCTGCTCAAAGGCAGTCGATGATCCCTCATTGACCGTTGTTTCTGCTATTGATATCAGCCATGCTTATATTCAAGGATATCTTTTTGATATTCTCGGGCTTTTGACTGATATTAAAAGTTTCAAGATTAACAACAACCAGTTTCAAGGAGAATTCCCCAAGAACTTGTCCGGGTTTCAGGAGTTGCAGAAACTCGATATCAGCTACAACCGCTTTGTTGGTTCATTTCCTGACGTTCTTCTGGAGTTGCAATCTCTCAAGTACCTTAACTTGAGGTACAATGAGTTTGGAGGGCAATTGCCCCGAAAACTCTTTGAGAAGAGGTTTGATGGTGTGTTCTTTGATCACAACAAGTTCACACCTAACACCGATGAATGTGAGTTGGTCTGTGGAAACCATCCCACCAATCCTACTCCTGATGTGCCACAAACACCTACTACCCCCACAACACCTTCTCCACCGCCACCAAAACCACAAACACCGACACCAGAAAGTCCTGAATTCACCCTGCCGCCAACAACTAAACAGTCTCCACCATCACCAGTTGTTACACCTTCCGTCCCATCAACACCTACTTCAACTCCACCAACCCCATCATCTCAAACATCACCGCCTCCGACACCATCAATGAGTTATAATCCACCTCCCACATCAAAGCCACCAACATCAACTCCGCCAACCCCTTCATCCCAAGCATCACCTCCTCCGACACTAACTCCACCAACTCCTACATCTCAATCCTCACCTCCTCGGACACCATCAAAATCCACTCCACCAACTCCTACATCTAAAACAACACCTCCTCCAACACCATCAACATCCACTCCACCAACTCCTACATCCAAAACAATACCTCCTCCGACACCATCAACACCCACTCCACCAACTCCTACATCCAAAACAACACCTCCTCCGACACCATCAACACCCACTCCACCAACTCCTACATCCGAAACAACACCTCCTCCAACACCATCAACATCCACTCCACCAACTCCTACATCCGAAACAACACCTCCTCCGACACCATCAACATCCACTCCATCAACCCCTACATCCGAAACAACACCTCCTCCGACACCATCAACATCCACTCCACCAACCCCTACATCCGAAAGAACACCTCCTCTGACACCATCAACATCCACTCCGCCAACCCCTACATCCGAAACAACACCTCATCCGACACCATCAACATCCACTCCACCAACTCCTACATCCCAAACAACACCTCCTCCGACACCATCAACATCCACTCCACCAACTCCTACATCCGAAACAACACCTCCTTTGACACCATCAACGAGTTATACTCCACCTCCCACATCCAAGCCACCATTATTAACTCGACCAACTCCTTCATCCGAAGCCTTAACTCCACCATCTTCCACTTCAACTCCACCAAGCCCTTCATCCAAAGTATCGCCTCCACCAAAAGAAGTATCAACTTATATTCCACCTCCAACTTCCAAGCCACCAACTTCAACTCCGCCAAGTCCTTTATCCCAAGCATCACCTCCTCCAACACCTTCAATGGGTTATACCCCACCTCCCACATCAAAGCCACCAACATTAACTCCACCAACCCCTTCATCCCAAGCATCACCTCCTCCAACACCATCAACAGGTTATACCCCACCTTCCATATCAAAGCCACCAACATCAACTCCACCAACTCCTTCATCCCAAGCATCACCTCCTCCGACACCATCAAGGGGTTACACTCCACCTCGCATATCAAAGCCACCAACATTAACTCCGCCAACCCCTTCATCTGAAACATCACCTCCTTCGACACCATCAATGGGTTATATTCCACTTCCCACATCAAAGCCACCAACATCAACTCTACCAACCCCTTCATCCCAAGTATCACCTCCTCCAACACCATCAAAGACTTATATTCTTCCTCCTACTTCTAATCCACCAAGTCACACACCAGTTTTGAGTCCTCCTAAACCTAGTAAAGCATCTCTTGGCCCAACTCCAACCCGAACGCCAATTTCAGCTCCTCTTAAACCTAGCAAAGCATCTCCAGGTCCAGCTCCAACTCAAACACAAGTTTCGGGTCCTCCTAAACCTGGCAAAGCATCTCCAGGCCCAGCTCCGATTCGAACACCAGTTTCAGCTCCTCCTAAACCTATCAAAGCATCTCCTGGCCCGTCTTCGACTCAAACGCCAGTTTCGGTGCCACCCAAACATGTCAAAGCATCTCCAGGCCCAGCTCCGGCACGAACACCAGTTCAACCACCTCAAAAACCTTCTAAGGCATCTCCATTCCCAACCCCAACTTTAACACCAGGTTCTACTCCTCCAAAACGATCTCCGGTTCCGGCTCCGACTCATACACCACTTTCAGCTCCCCCTAAACAGTCTCCAGTCCCGTCTCCAACTCGAACACCAATTTCTCTACCACAAAGACCTCCTAAGTCATCTCCAGTCCCGGTTCCGACTCATACACCAGTTTCACATCCTCCGAAACCGTCTCTAGTCCCAACTCCAGTTCGAACACCAATTTCTCCACCTCAGAAACCTCCTAAGCCATCTCCAGTACCAGCTCCAGTTCAAACACCGATTTCTCCTCTGCAAAAACCTTCTAAACCATCTCCGACCCCAGCTCCAGTTTTGACACCAGTTTTTGCTCCACCTAAACCATCTAAGCAATCTCCATCCCCAACTCCAGTTTCACCTCCTCCTAAACCCATTAAGCCATCTCCAGTCCCCTCTCCAACTTCCACACCAATTTCAACTCCAAAACCATCTCCTGTCGCACCAACGGTTCAATCGCCTCCACCAGCACCAACACCCGCACGATCATTAACTCCTCCTAAGCCATCTCCTGTCCCACCTCTGGCTCAATCGCATCTACCACCACCACCACCACCTTCTACACCAGTTTCAACTCCAAAACCATCTCCTGTCACACCAACGGTTCAATCGCCTCCACCAGCACCAACACCCACACGATCATTAACTCCTCCTCCTACTCAGGCTGTACCTTTACCACCGCCGAAGCACGATGACTTCACTCTCCCACCAAACATGGGCTTTCAGTACTCTTCCCCACCTCCACCAATGTTCCAAGGCTATTAAATAGTATACTGTTAGTTGTTTTTTAAATTTTATTTTTTCCATGTATTGATACCATTGATTTTGACTTCAACATACTTGAACAAAGTCACTCTTTTACGTGAGTGTCTAAGCAATGGACATTAGTTTTTACTTTAATCTACATTGTCACCGCCCTGAGATTTAGGACATAATGTTACACATGATTTTTTATAGTACTATTTTTTTTGAATAATTATTTGACCATTACTTTATTTGTTGACGTCTTTTGTGGTTAATGTTACAAATAATCAAAGAAAATTAACACATTGTTTCAGTGACTTATGATTTGGTTGATTTCTCTGAATCTAAGACAAACCCTTCAAATTATCTTTTATTGGTCAGTGGTTAAGGATGTTGTGATAGCTTAATTGGTTGGGACAATTCTAGACAAACTCTTCAAGGATGTTTGTAATACAGTTTTAATTTATCTTAATTTAAGACAATTTCTTTCAAATTATTCAAACTTAAAAATTTCGTCCTTCCACCACACTTGGGATCACAATACTCATCGCCCCTCCACCAATTTTTCTAGGGACACTAAATAATATACATTAGTGGGTTTATTTATTTATTTATTTATATATTATTAATTAAAAAAATTACATTGAAATAGATTTAGGAGCCTTAAATAACAAATCAATCTATTATTAAAGTTAATTTTTCAATTTGATCGAGTTAGGTAAAATAATTTACATATGCATTAAAAACTATTATTTAGGTTCAAATATCCTCCAAACTCTTATTTCAAGATACCAAAATATCCTTCCTAAATCGAATCATTCTTTCATTAATAAAAGTTAGAAAAACAAAATTTCTTAAGTTGACTTTCAATTTGGCATTGGTGTATATATTACCAAAATAAAAAAAAATAAAAAACAACATATATATATATATATATATATATATATTATATAAATTTTGTGCAAATTTTTTTAACAATATTTCTTAATCCATATCGGTTCAAACCTAAATATACAAATAATTTAATGAAAATTCATTTTGTATAGAATTTATTTATTTATTTTTTTCAGTAAGTGGAAATTCATCGTCTCTCTCTCTCTCTCTATATATATATATATAAATTTATTTGCACTCTCTCTCTCTATATATATATAAATTTATTTGCACATTTCTTTAACCATATCTCCTGATCTGATTCATACCAATATAAACTTGAAAATGTGAAAACTTTCCTATGAATATATATATACACACACACATACAGTACACACGCGAGAAATGGAGATCATGAAAAAACTAAATGGCTGCTTCAGTAAATGGTACACCAGCAATCATTTATTTATTTATAAAACAAGTGCAATTAATTGAGTCAAAAAATTGATGATCATCTCAAAGCATGTACCACAATAAAGACAATTTATATATTCTTGAGTTTAATTATATTTTTCTTTTTGGGGACTAATCTTTGATTGTCCCATTTTTTACTATATTGAATATTTTTTATTATTTGTGTAAGTTATCGTGTGTATATATGAAAGTTGCAGCAATTACTTGATTTTAGGAGAATAATTTTTACTGTTTTGGAATAAGTGTTTGGAGGGCATTTTTGACCTAAACAATAATTATTGATGCATATGTAATTATTTTACTTAATTCAACCAAAGTGAAAAATAAACTTTTAAAATAGATCAATTTGTTTTTTAAAGATCCTAATGTAGTTTTCCATCACCTTGATTTTTCTTCAACGTATATAATTAGTTCATTTTTTTAACACGAGCTTTTGAGCAATGGTTCCCTTTTTCCTTTGAATCAACGTTGTTGTCTTAAAAGAAATTTAAGTTCATTTTTTTTTGCATACATTGTGGTTTGTCATTAATATTCTTTCTTAGATAAAATGTTTAATTAATTATTCAAAAAATTAAAAAAACATAGAAAAAGAAAAGATCTTTTATTAGGACAAAGATCTTTTATTAGGATTGGGTCCATTGTATTATAATTAGCCAGATTAAAACTTTTTGTATACACAATAGACAATTAAGATGACAACAATCAATTATTGGGTCCATTCAGAACTCATCCAGTAAAACTTCTCAATGGTCAAGTTACAGTGAGTGTATCATTAAGATTTGTATATCGTGATAAAGTAGCATTTATTAAGTTGTTGGGTTGTCTAAAAAATTAATATTTAACAAAACTCCATCAACCCCTTCATCCGAAACATCTCCTTCTTCGACACCATCAATGGGTTATACTCCACCTCCCACATCAAAGCCACCAACATCAACTCCACCATTCTCATCATCCCATGCATCACCTCCTTTGACACCATGAAATACTTATACTCTTCATCCACCAAGTCACACACTAGTTTCGACTCCTCCTAAACCTAGCAAAGTATTTTCTGGACTAGCTTCGACCCGAACACCAATTTTAGCTCCCCCTAAACCTAACAAAGCATCTCTAGGTCCATCTCCAACTCAAACACAAGCTTTGGCTCCTCCTAAACTTGAAAAAGCGTCTCCAGGCCCAACTCCGATTCGAACGCCAGTTTTGGCTCCTTTTAAACCCAACAAAGCATCTCCAAGCCCTTTTCGACTCAAACGTGAGTTTCGTCTCCACCCAAACCTGTTAAAGCATCTCCAGGCCCAGCTCTGGCACGAACACCAATTCAATCACCTCAGAAACCTCCTAAGGCATCTCCATTCCCACCTCCAACTTTAATACCAGTTTCTACTCCTCCTAAACGATCTCTAGTCCTGGCTCTAGCTCCAAAACTAAGTTTCCCACCTCAAAAACCTCCTAAGCCATCTCCAGTCCTGGCTCCGACTCATATACCAATTTCAACTCCCCCTAAATGGTCTCCAATCCCGACTCCAACTCAAACCCCAATTTCTCTAGCTCGAAGACCTCCTAAGTCATCTTAAGTCTAGGCTCTGACTCATACACCAGTTTCACATCCTCCGAAAGCATCTCTAGTCCTAACTCCAGTTCGAACACCAATTTCTTTACCTCAGAAACCTCCTAAGCCATCTCCAGTTCCTTTCAAACACCGGTTTCTCCTCCGTAAAAACCTTCTAAGCTGTCTCCAACCACAGCTCCAGTTTTGACACCAGTTTTTGCTCCACCTAAAGCAACTAAGCAATCTGCAGCCCCAAATCCAGTTTTGACACCAGTTTCACCTCCTCTTAAACCCACTAAGCCATCTCCAGTCCCATCTCCAACTTCCACACCAATTTCAGCTCCTCCTAAACCATCTCCTGTCCCACCACCGCTTTCGATCTACACCAATTTCATCTCCTCCTAAACTATCTCTTGTCCCACCAACGGTTCAGCTACCTCCACCAACACCAACACCCGCAGGATCATTAACTCCTCCTCTTACTCATCCTATTCCTTCACCACCACTAAGGCACGATAAGTTCATTCTCCCACTATTTTAGGGCTGCACGATAAGTTCACTCACTATTTTACATGAGCTTTTAAACAATGGATATTTATTTATTTATATTATTATTATTATTATTTTAATCTACATTGTTACCTATTTATGGTAGGGCTGCAAGTTGGGCTAACCCAACCCAACTCAGTCCCAACTCAACCTCAATTCGAATCGGGTTGGATTGGACCAACCCGAATGGTACCCAACATGGGTTATGGTCAAAACTTAGCTCGAATATTTTTGGGCCGGTCGGGTCGGGTTGCCGGGTTGAATTTAATTTTTTTTTTTCCCCGAAATTATATATATATTATATATATTTTATTATATTATTATAAAAAACAAAAAAAAATTAGGGCAAATCATTTCAGCCTCCCCAATCGCATCCAGCCTCAAGGTCTTTCTCTCTCTTTCTCTCTCTTTCTCTGCAACTGCAAACTACAAAATCTACAAGAATCAAAAGTTCAAAACCCATATATTTCATATGTCTGCAAAAAAAGTTCAAAACCCATATGTTTCAGATGTCTGCAAAAAGTTTTCAACCACAAGATGCTATGGAATGGATGGTTAGACCTCTTCAACGAAATGTGACAGACAGAATTGGGCAACTAGAGCTCTATCTACAAATTCTTGGGGAAGCCTTCTCGTATATAAGACATATGAGCCACGTGATTATACCTGAAAGTAGGTCCAAACAAAACAGGTTCAGAGATCAGAGACACAAGACAGGTGAAAAGAGAAAGGGAAGTCATGTAATATTCAAAACCCATATATTTCAGATGTCTGCAAGAATCAGAAGTTCAAACCCATATCGGCATATCATTTCAGATTGTTCAAAAAATCCAAACCCAGATCTTTCAGTTTCCATCGCCCGCTTTTCAATCTTCTCTTTGCGCTTCTGAGTGGTTCAATCTTCAGGGCGACGGAAACTTATGAGTACTTCAATCTTCTCTTTGCGCTTCTTTCCCATCAGAATTTCAGTTTCAGGGCGGTAGAGAGAGAAAGAAGAGAGAGAGAGAGGAGATAAAAAGGAGGAAAAAAAATGAAATATATATATATTTTTTTGCATGAAATGTTTAATTTGGGCTTTCGGGTTGAACCCAGCCCAAATCGAATAAAGTTGAGTTTTTTTAAAACCCAACCCGACTGAAATTCAAATTGTGAATTTGTATGTCTAAATTTTAAAATTTATGGGCTGGACTCGAATTGGGGTGGGTTGGGTTAGTCCGCCCAAGTAGCACCCCTAATTTATGGTTCAGTTGCCGACAATAAGTTACACATGATATTTTTTTTCCTTGAAGTACAATATTGACTGGGTTAATAAAAAAAGTTTCTTACTAATTTTTAGAATAATTATTTTAACCATTACCTTATTTGTTGATGCCTTTTGTGTTTAAATTTAACAAATAATTAAATTAAATTAACAAAATTGTTCCAGTGATGTGGATAATTTATGTTAATATAAGACAATCCCTTTCAAGTTATCTTTACCTTTTCCTTCCATAGCTAGGAGTGTCCCAACCAACACAAACATTCTTTACGATATGCATGACATCAAAATTGTGATAAATTAGATTGGAGTTCTAGTACTAATAGGGATGTCAATTTTTACCGCCTCCTGTCCCGCCCCGTTAATAACGGATATGGGAACACTTATATCGTTGGGGCGGACATGGATATAAATTTTGTACCCGTCGAGGGTCACGGGGCGGGTAAGGATTCAATGTACATATCTTAGGGGCCCCGTCCCGCCCCGCATATAACTATATTTAATATATATATATATATATATATATATATATATATATAAGTTATTTTAGCGGCTTACCCAATTACCCATCTCTTACAATCCTAATTTGGAATGTAAAGTTGGTATTAAATTTGCTTTTGTTTTGGTTATGGTGGAAGTTGGAGCTTAGAACTTTTTGTGATTTGGTTGTATTAAACTTTTATTTTTGTTTATTATGTTTTTTGAATTATGTTATGTGCATGTTATTTTTTTATTTTTGTTGGGATACATAATTTTATTTATGTTGTGCCATTCCTAGGCTTTGCACATTTAAATAGCAGGAGTTTAAGTTCCAAAAAGTGGGAGAAAAAAATTTGTTAGCAGAGCGGGCACAGGGGCACAGTATTTCCTAACGGGGCGGGGCTGGATATGAAAATCTAACCCGTCGCGAGTCTCGGGACGGGCATGGACTTGACAAAAATTAAAAGGAGCAGGGCGGGATTTAGGGAAACCCACTCCAAACCCGCCCCGTTGCCATCCCTAAGTACTAACTCAAAAAAAAGATGCTTCTCTTTTTCCAATTCAATATAAGATACGCCTCATCATCCTTTGCACAACTTTTATCAGCAGTGTGACAATTTGACTTTACCAAATATAATGATTCGACCTTGCAATTTTTCTGATACATTGGTTTCACTTGGTGGTCAGCGAAATCTCTCTATTCTTATTCTTGGTTACCATCGAAAGAGTGTTTATTTCTCTGAAACTCATGATTTTGGGGGGAGATTATCCTGCCCGAGAAAGGACATGTTTGGAGCCCTAAACTTGGCCAAACAAACAAACCCAACACTAACCCATGATTAAGTCTTGCGACGTGACAAAATGGTGGCCAAGCAAAATACTGGACTGAATCCGGCTCCAGGAAGATTAGGCTTCATTGTCAGAAACGCTTTTCTATCTACATGCACCACATGTAGCACACGACTCATCATTAGAAGCCCCCTTCCAATACAACACACGATCGTTGGGACAAACATCAAGCTTGTTGCAATGTTTCACTCTCTGGTAATGCCTCTTTCAACAACTCAAGTGACATTATGAATGTCTTGTTGCTTCATCCACAAGACATTTTATATGAAACAACCGAACAACGAAAGAGAGCTCCGTGAACTTCCTACATCCGTGACAACTCTCGCTCCGCATCTTCTACTAACTTGAAAAACTTTTTAGCCTCAATATTTGGCATCTCACTAGTTAATTTAATGCATCGAATCATCCATCTCCTCTTCATGGTTGCTTATTCCATCAACAAGCAATTTAATTCAACACTTACACATGGACACAATATCAATATCCGCCTGCATTAGAAAATCCAAAATCCAAAATTCAAAAAGATTCTAACTCCTAAGTATTCTATTTTCACTCTATTTATCAAGCACAAATAATAATAATAATAATAAATTTTGTTAACTCATTAGCACTTTATTTTTTTATTTTTTATTTTTTAACCTTTATTTATCAAAATTCTATGTTTGGTGTGTAGGAATGGAATGGAATGCAAGTGGGAATGGAATGGAATGCAAGTGGGAATGGAATGGTTATTCTCATTCTATTGTTTGATTGTAAATATGAAATGTGCAGGAATGGAATGATAATAACCATTCTAGTGTTTGGTTGGACGAATTTAAAATTGAATAAATTTCTAATTGAATTCTCCAAAATATCTCTCTTAGTAACAAATAAATTAAATTTTAATTTAACAAAATGATATTCTCTAATAAATTTTTAAAAATAAATGGTGGCAGTGGTGGTGGTGGATGGTGGAAAGCGGTAGTAGTGTAAGTGGTGGTGTTGGAAGGCGGTGGTGGTAGCAATGGTGGAAATTGGTGGCAGCAATGGTGGTGGAAGGTGGCAGTGGTATTGGTGGAAGGCGGTGGCAGTAGTGTGGTGGTTGTGGTGGAAGGAGATAGTGGTGTGACTATAGTGGTGGTGAAAGGCAGTGGAAGTGGCGGTGGTGGTGGTGAAAGGTAGTGACGATGGTGGTGGTGGTGGCGGTGGTGGAAGGCGAAGACAGCGGTGGTGGTAGTAGTGGTGGTGGTGGTGGCGGTGAAAGGTGGTGGCGGTAGCAGCGGTGGAAGGTGGTGGTGGTGGTGATGATGGAAGGTGGTAGAAGGCAATGGTGGTGGTTGTGGTGATAGAAGGCGGTGGTGGTGGAAGGCGATGGTGGCGGTGTTGGTGGTTGTTGAAGGCGGTGGCGGTGGTGAAAGGTGGCGGTGGCGATGGCAGTGGTGGAAAGCGGCGGTAGTGGTGTAGGGTTGTGGCGGCGGTGGTGGTGGTGGTGGAAGGCGGCGGTGGTGGTGAAGGGCTGTGGCGGTGGAGGTGGTGGAAGATGGTAGTAGTAGTGAAAGGCGGTAGCAGTGGTGGTGGCGATAGCGGTTGTGAAAAGCGGCGATGGTGGTTCCGGCAAACGGTGGGGGAAATGGTGGTGAAAAGCGGTGGCGGTGATGGTGGTGAAAAGCGATGGTGAAAGTCGGTGGTGGTGGAAGGCAGTGGTAGTGGTGGTGGTGGTGAAAGGCAGAGATGAATGTGGTAGAAGGTAATGGTGGTTTTTGGACTTGGAATATGAGGGTGTTTTGGGAAGTCAATTTTTTTAAATAAATTACTTGGGAATGGAATGGCCATTCCATAGGTTTAGTTGTGAAATGAATTTTCATTCTCAGGAATGAATTTTCATTCCAATGGAATGACCATTCCCACTTTAAGTTGCATACCAAACAAAAGAATGATTGGAATGGGCATTCCATTCCATTCCATTCCTGCACACCAAACGTAGGTACCTTGATTTATGAATCCAACTCCGGACAATATTTGTCTTCTTGAAGTGGTCTTCTTATTCCCAACCTTAAAAATAAGGGTATATGACACAATTTGGAACTAAAAAAGAAGAAGCAAATAACTTGTTAGCATTGAAAGAACAAGAACGGATTATTTGAAGGAAAATCCAACACTACTTAGAATTATATTCCACCTTCAACAAATTGATTATCAAAGTAGCAAAATTGATAACAGAGTATTATTGTGATATAAAGAACAAACCATTTGAGTAATTATTCTTACTCTGTTCCTACCTTGAATTATGTATAAAAAAAATCAATGCCAACAAAATCTCCGAAAAAAAAGAAAGAAAAGTAGTACAACCATCCAAACAACATAGTTAATGTCACATTTTGAGGGGAAAATAAAAAATAAAAAAAAAAAAAAAAAAAACATAGTTAATGTCATTTGAAGGCGACGGTAGAAACCCATGATCATATATCAAAAGAATTGGAGCTCCAGTGGCAAAATTAATGGCGTCCCGAAGAGGAAATGGAAACTGCTACATTGAGTTTTAGAGAGAGAGATAGGAAATGGAAACTGCTACTACGTGTTTTTCTTTTAGTGTGGGAACTTGAGAAACTTGTAATTTTCGTTTCTTTTTCGTGTATCTAGTGAAAGCTCTTCGTCGATCTTCACCATGGGGTAGGCTATATGCCGAACCTTTGTGTTTGTGTTTTTCGTTTTTTGTTGTTTTTTTTTAATTATGTTGTGCTTTTCCGCAGTGTTTGTCACAACAACATCGAAGGATTTAGAATGTTGATTCATGTGTTTTGAGTGAAAGGTACAACCTGTAGGTAAGCAAGTAATGTTGCAATTTTTTTTTTTTTTTTTTTTTTTTTTTTTTTTTTTTTTTTTTATTGGTAATGTTGCATTTGACAACATGGAATTTCCATCTTGAAATTGAAAACTTTGAACCATTTATTTGAACTTTTAAACTAAATTTCTTCATCCCAAGTATCACAGCTCCGACTTTGAACCGTGTCTTGTTGACCTGGAAAAAAAAGAAAAAAAAGAAAAGAAAAGGCCACAGTAGCAAAAAAAGAGTAAAATTAACTCTCTTTTTTTTTCTCCTTCAGATTTTGGGTCTTTTTAATAAACGATTGCAGTATCGTGTGACGTTAACAAAATGTTACACCTACTTTTGCGACTAGGTTTCTTTTTCTCCAATTTGGCAACAAAAATACAAAAAACAAAAAGGGTAGTTAAACAAGTCCTAAGTTTGTAAATTTCTAGTAATAAATTTTGATTTGGTGATTGAAGTTCAGAGGGCACGGGAGTTTTAATAAAACTTGAATAGAATATCAATTGAAGATTTGAAAGCCTAAGTTGGGAGCATAACTAAGTAATTTCTAAGATCAGAGGAGGTCAGTCCTTGAGAAGGCACATTAAACTTCCGTAATGGTTTAGTTGACCATCAACCGGACTTGTAAAGAGAAAAAGAAATTATTTATTTATTTATTTATTATTAAATTATTTGCTAAGATACAACAAAATCATGGTCATGAAGCAAAGATTGATCATATTTAGGAACATGGTGAAGATGACGGAAAAAAACATACACACACAGTCCATGAATTATGACAGAAGGTTATGTATAGTACATGTTTAATGAAACAAGTTGGTTAAAGGAAAGAGTTGGTCATTGTCAACAAAATTTTAGCTTTGCTATAAAACCTGTGCCATCCAGCACACCAACCTAAAACACAGCAATGATAATCCCTAAATCTCTGTCCGCAAAGTTATAAGGGCCTCCAAATTTTGTAATGTACATTAAAGCTCCACAAATTCAAGGCCTAAATATGGAGGTTACAGCTGAATTTGGCTCCCTCTACCTCCATATAAAACCTCCACAAGACGGATAGAATATTGCAAGCAGCCTTGGGCAATCCAAGGTGGTGGTTTGGAATGGCAAACCATCAAAACATGAATGCCTCAGGCTGCTTTCTTATCTTCACCATTCTGTTCTCTTCTTTCTCGTCCTTCTCTTTGGCCTTAAGTGATGCTGAGGCATCCTATATTGCTCATCGGCAACTTTTGAATCTTTCTCAAAACAGTGATCTTCCCGATGGGGTTGGATATGACATTGATCTGAAACTGAATTTTGCAAATCCAAGGCTCAAGAGAGCTTATATTGCTCTTCAAGCATGGAAAAAAGCTATGTACTCAGATACGTATAACGTAACTGCCAATTGGGTTAGTGAGAATGTGTGTGCCTACAATGGTATACTTTGCTCACCAGCAAGAGATGATCCCAAATTGACAGTTGTTTCTGGTGTTTATCTTAACCATGCTGACATAGCTGGGTACCTTCCAGTTGAGCTCGGGCTTTTGACGGATCTCACTACATTCCACATCAACTCTAATCGGTTCTGTGGAATCATCCCGAATAGTTTCTCGAGACTTCAACAATTGGAAGAGCTAGATGTCAGCAATAACCGCTTTGTTGGTTCATTCCCAGCTATTGTTCTCGAGTTACATTCCCTCGTATACATGGACATAAGATACAATAATTTCGAAGGGCCAATTCCAGCAAAACTCTTTGACAAGAAATATGATGTTTTACTCTTGACTCACAACAGGTTCACATCCGAAATCCCTGATCTTTGTGAATGGAAGTGCGGAAAACATCCACCACCCACATCCAAGCCACCAACACCAACTCCGCCAACCCCTTCATCTCAAGCATCACCTCCTCCCACACCTTCAAAAAGTTATACTCCACCTCCCACATCAAAGCCACCAACATCAACTCCGCCATCCCTTACATCCCAATCATCACCTCCTCCGACACCATCAACACCAACTCCACCAACCCCAACATCGAAAACATCACCTCCTCCGACACCATCAACAACTCATAATCCACCTTCCACATCCAAACCACCATCATCAACTCCACCAACTCCTCCATACGAAGCCTCCCCTCCTCCAACCCCATCCAAGAGTTATACACCGCCATCCACTTCAACTCCACCAAACCCTTTATCTAAAGTATCACCCCCACCAAAAGAAGTAACAACTTATATTCCACCTCCAACTTCCAAGCCACCAACTTCAACTCCACTAAGCCCTTCATCCAAAGTATCGCCTCCACCGGAAGAAGAAAAAACTTATACTCCACCTCCCACATCCAAGCCACCATCATCAACTCCACCAACTCCTCCATCTGAAGCCTCATCTCCTCCGACCCCATCCAAGAGTTACACTCCGCCACCCACTTCAACTCCACCAAGCCTTTCATCTACAGTATCACCTCCACCAAAAGAAGTAACAACTTATATTCCACCTCCCATTTCCAAGCCACCAACTTTGACTCCACCAAGCCCTTCCTCCAAAGTATCATCTCCACCGGAAGAAGAAAGCACTTATACTCCACCTCCCACATCTAAGCCACCATCATCAACTCCATTAACTCCTCCATCCGAAGCCTCACCACCTTCGACCCCATCCAAGGGTTATACTTCGCCACCCACTTCTACTCCACCAAGCCCTTCATCTAAAGTATCACCTCCACCAAAAGAAGTAACAACTTATATTCCACCTCCCATTTCCAAGCCACCAACATCAACTCCACCAAGCCCTTCATCTAAAGTATCGCCTCCATTGGAAGAAGAAAAAACTTACACTCCACCTCCCACATCCAAGCCACCATCATCAACTCCATCAACTCCTCCATCCGAAGCCTCACCTCCTCCGACCCCATCCAAGAGTTATAATCCACCACCCACTTCAATTCCACCAAGCCCTTCATCCAAAGTATTGCCTCCACCAAAAGAAGTAACAACTTATATTCCACCTTCCATTTCTAAGCCACCAACATCAATTCCACCAAGCCCTTTATCCAAAGTATCGCTTCCACCGGAAGAAGAAAAAACTTATACTCCACCTCCTACATCCAAGCCACCATCATCAACTCCACCAACTTATTCATCCGAAGACTCACCCCCTCTGACCCCATCTAAGAGTTATACTTCACCACCCACTTCAACTCCACCAAGCCCTTCATCCAAAGTATCACCTCCACCAAAAGATGTAACAACATATATTCCACCTCCTATTTCCAAACCACCAACTTCAACTCCACCAAGTCCTTCATCCAAAGTATCGCCTCCACCGGAAGAAGAAAAAACGTATAGTCCACCTCTCACATCCAAGCCACCATCATCAACTCCACCAAGCCATTCACAAAAAGCATCCCCTCCTCCTCAAGAATATAACACTTATTCTCCACCTCCCACTTCCAAGCCTCCAACATCAACTCCACCAACACCTTCATCCCAAGCATCACCACCTCCAACACCATCAAATAGTTATACTCCACCTCCCACATCAAAGCCACCCACTTCAACTCCACTTACCCCTACATCCGAAGCATCACCTTCTCCGACACCATCAACATTAAGTCCACCAACCCCCACTTCCCAAGCATCACCTCCTCCGACACCATCAAAAAGTTATACTCCACCTCCAACACCAAAACCACCAATGTCAACATCCGAACCATCACCCCCTCCAATACCATCAAATGGTTATACTCCACCTCCCACATCAAAACCCCCAACCTCAACTCCACTATCCCCTATATCCCAATCATCACCTCCTCCAACATCATCAATATTAACTCCACCAACCCCTATATCGCAAGCATCCCCTCATCCGACACCAATTAATAGTTATACCCCACCTCCAACATCAAAACCACCAATATTAACTCCACCAACCCCTACATCCCAAGCATTACCACCTCCAACACCATCAACATCAAGTCCACCAACCCTTACATCCAAAGAATTACCTCCTCCAACACCATTAAATAGTTATACTCCACCTCCTACATCTAAGCCCCTAACATCAACTCCGCCAACCCCTACATCCCAACCATCATCTCCTCCAACACCATTAATAAGTTATAATCCACCTCCTATGTCAAAGCCACCAACATCAACTCCACAAACCCCTACATTGGAAGAATCACCTCCTTCAACACCATCAACATCAACTCCACCAACCCCTACACCCAAAACATCAACTCCTCCAACACCATCAACAAGTTATACACCACCTCCAACATCAACTCCACTAACCCCTACATCCCAACCATCACCTCCTTTGACACCATCAAATGGTTATACTCCACCTCCCACATCTAAGTCCCCAACATCAACCCCACCAACCCCTACATCCCAATCATCACCTCTTCCGACACCATTAATGTTAACTCCACCAACATCAATTCCAACAACCCCTACCTCCCAAGTATCCCCTCCTCCGACACCATCAAATAATTATATTCCACCTCCCACATCTAAGCCCCCAACATCAACTCCGCCAGCCCCTACATCCCAAGAATCACCTCCTTCAACACCATCAACAAGTTATAATCCACCTCCCACATCAAAACCACCAACATCAACACCACCAACCCCTACATCGGAAGAATCACCTCCTTCGACACCATCAACATCAACTCCACCAACACCTACATCCCAATCTTCACCTCCTTCAGCACCATCAACAAGTTATACACCACCTCCAGCATCAAAACCACCAACATCAACTCCATCAACCCCTACATCCCAAGCATCACCTCCTCAGACACCACCAAACGGTTACACTCCACCTCCCACATCCAAGCCCCCAACTTCTATTCCACCAATCCCTACATCCCAACCATCATCTCCTCCAACGCTATTAATATCAACTCCACCAACACCTACCTCTGAAGTGTTCTCTCCTCCGACACCATCAAAAAGTTATACTCCACCTTCCACATCTAAGCCCCCAACATCAACTCCTCTAACCCCTACATCCGAAGCATCACCACCTCCAACTAGTTATAATCCACCTCCCATATCAAAGCCACCAACATCATCTCCACCAACCCCTACATCAAAATCATCCCCTCCTCCAACACCATCAACAAGTTATAATCCACCTCATACATCAAAACCACCAACATCAATTCCACCAACCCCTATATACCAAGCCTCACCTCCTTCGACACCTTCAAAATCAACTCCACCAACCCCTACAGTTGAAACATCACTTCCTCCAACACCATCTAAGAGCTATATTCCACCTCCCACATCTAAGCCCCCAACATCAACCCCGCCAACTCCATCATCCCAAGTATCACCTCCTCCGACACCATCAAAGATTTATACTCCTCCTCCCACTTCTAGTCCCCCAAGTCATACACCAAAAGCATCTCCGATCCCAAGTCCATCTCTGACACAAGTTTCGACTCCACCGAAACCTGGAAAAGTTTCTCCAGGCCCAGCTCCGACCCAAACACCAGTTTCGGTTCCTCCTAAACCTGGTAAAACTTCTCCAGGCCCAGCTCCGACCCGAACACCAGTTTCATCTCCTCCAAAACCTGGTAAAGAATCTCTTAGTCCAGCCCCGACCGCAACACCAGTTTCAGCTCCTCCTAAACCTGGCAAAGCGTCTCTAGGTCCAGCTCCAACACTAACACAAGTTTCATCTCCTCCTAAACCTGGGAAGACATCTCCAGACCCAGCTCCGACCGAAACACCAGTTTCAACTCCTCTTAAACCTAGCAAAGCGTCTCCAGGCCCAACTCCAACCCGAACACCAGTTTTGGCTTCTCCGAAACCTAGCAAAGTATCTCCAGGCCCAGCTCCGACTGGAACACTAATTTTGCCTCCTCCTAAACCTGGCAAAGCGTCTCCAGGCCCAGCTCCGACCCGAACACCAGTTTCGGCTCCTCCTAAACCTGGCAAAGCTTCTCCAGGCCCAGCTCCAACCGGAACACCAGTTTCAGCTTCTCCAAAACCTGGTAAAGCGTCTCCAGGTCCAACTCCGACTCAAACACCAGTTTTCACTCCTCATAAACCTGGAAAAGTATCTCTAGGCCCAGCTCCCACTGCTACACCAGTTTCGGCTCCTCCTAAATCGGGTAAAGCGTCTTTAGGCCCAGCTCCGACCCGAACACCAATTTCGACTCCTCCTAAACCTGGAAAAATGTCTCCAGGCCCAGCTCCAACCGGTACACCAGTTTCAGCTCCTCCTAAACCTGGCAAAGCATTTCCAGGTCCAGCTCCGACCAGAACACCAGTTTCGGCTCCACCTAAACTTGGCAAACCATCTCCAAGCCCTGCCCCAACGAGAACACCAACTTCGGCTCCGCCTAAACTGGGCAAAGCATCCCCAGGCCTAGCTCCCATTCAAACACCAGTTTCGACTCCTTCTAAACCTGTTAAAGCTTCTCCTGGCCCCGCTCCGACTCAAACACCAATTTCGGCTCCTCCTAAACCTGGTAAAGCATCTCCAGGCCCAGCTCTGACCGGAATACCAATTTCAACTCCTCCTAAACCTGGCAAAGCGTCTCCAAGCCCAGCTCCGACCGAAACACCAGTTTTGGCTCCGCCTAAACCTGGCAAAGCGTCTCCAGGCCCTGCTCCAACCAGAACACTAACTTCGACTCCACCTAAACCTGACAAAGCGTCCCCAAGCCCAACTCCAAGTGAAACACCAGTTTTGGCTCCTCCTAAACCTGTTAAAGCATCTCCTGGCCCCGCTCCGACTCAAACACCAGTTTCGGCTCCTCCTAAACCTGGCAAAGCATCGCCAGGCCCAGCTCCGACTCAAACACCCATTTCAGCACCTCCTAAACCACCTCCAGTCTCGACTCCAACTCAAACACCAATTTCTCCACCTCAAAAAAGCCTTAATCCATCTCCAGTCTCGTCTCCAACTCATACTCTAGTTTCAACTCCTTATAAACCCTCTCCAGTTTCGACACCAACCCAAGCACCAATATCTCCACCTCAAAAACCTTTTAAGCCATCTCCAGTACCAATTCCAGTTTTGACACCAATTTTGGCTCCTCCTAAACCCACTGAGCCATCTTTATCTCCAGCCTCAACTCCAACTTCTACCCCAGTTTCAGTTCCTCCTAAGCCATTTCCAGTCCCACCGTCACCGGTTCAATCACATCCAACACCACCATCATCTACACCAGTTTTAGCTCCTTCTAAGCCATCTCCTATCCCACCTCCAGTTCAATTAAACCCACCACCCCTAACGTCTACACCAGTTTCGACTCCTCATAAACCACCATCTTCTGTCTCAGAAACGGTTCAATCGCATCCACCAGTACCAACACCTGCACGATCTTTAACTCCTCCTCCTATTAATATGGTTTCTTCACCACCGCCAAGACATGAGGACTTCATTCTCCCACCAGACATGGGGTCAAAATACTCTTCCCCACCTCCACCAATGTTCCAAGGCTATTAAATAGTTTACTATTAACTTCTTTTCATATATTGGTACCATTGATTTGGACTTCAAAATTTATGTACAAACTTATTCCTTTACATGAGCTTCTAAACAATGGACATTTTTTTATTTTTATTTTAATTAAGTTTGTAACCTATAAAATATTATCTGGCCAACAAAATGTTACAAAAGTAAACTTTGACCATGTGTCTCTAAAATTTCCATTTTAAACTAATTTTTTGACTGATTGTTAACTTTAAAAAAAAAATCAAACTTTGAGTATGGGACATGTGTCCTGCTTGTGTGGCACCTATGTGGCACTGCCTGGGCAGGGCCCATCTGACCATAAAAAAATTCAATTGTTGAACCTTTATGATCAGATGACCTATCTTGAAGGTTCTGGACGTTCTAAATGTTGTGGTGTTGTTCGATCGACAATCGAACAGTCATATATTTCTTTTTGAAATAACCATTTTACCCTTATGGTAGTAAAAGTAGGTCTCAGGCATGGTTTAGACTTGTAGATAGGTCAATTATATGTTTTATTGAACATTCTGATAAAAGAATGGTAAAGTCGAATCTCCGATCCAATGGTTGGATTTTCCGTTATGCAAAATTATAACTTTGCCACTAGGTTCGATCTCAAAAGGTTTGACAGACTTAAAATTTACTATAGGCACCAACAATTCCTTACTCGGGGTCCACGAGTGCGGAATTGTTGGTGCCTATAGTGAATTTTTAGTTTGTCAAACCTTTTGAGTTCATTGGTGAAGTTATATCTGTAATCAAATGGTCATATTTTGAGACAAGGCAAAATTGTGACTTGCCATTATGCTTAGTTTTAGTGCCTTAAGGTGGTTTTGGGGGTTCACTGACCTCCCGAGTGCAACTGTTTAGTTGGATTTAGGATTCAACAATCGAATTGTGGGAATTCACATTCTTGTGATGTGACGATTGGATGCCAAGAGTTGCTTTAATGGCACATCTCTATGTGAATCCCTAGGTTTTGGGATACTCTAAACGTCGTGGTGAAGGCTGATCATCGATCCAATCATTTGATTTCACTAGGTGGTGTCGGAGGTGGTGGTTTCCTATCGATTTAATTTAAATATGGGAGGGGCAAAAATGAGGTGTCCAGATAAAGCAAATTCTAAAATTAATAAATTAGAATGTATAAGTGGCTATTGATGGTATAATAGTTTGAATGTACTTGTAAGGCATTATTTGATAAGTATAAAAAATTAACTACTGAAAGATTTTAAAAACTTAAATTTAATTGCTAAAAGTTCCATCAGCAAAGTGAGAATTTCTTTTAGTTTTATTTGAACCTTAGGTGTAGAGTAATAAGTTAAGTGTTTCCTGCTTAAAATTCTGTTGTATTTTATGTAGAACTTATTTGAAGTGATATCTAAACTGTGTTAACAAATACGTTCAATTGAATAATCACATATTAAAATTAAATAATGAATGAGTTCTTTGAACTTGATATTTTTTAAAGATGTTATTTGTGTATAGGCGAACAAAGCATTTGAAAATTTTCCAATTTGTAAGGATGCATTGAAAACTTCAAGTCATTACAATATAATATTACCATTGACATGAATTAGGTGTATCCTATCAAGCCCTAAAATCACAATCATTCAACTTAAATTAATTCACATTAGTTTCAATTGTCCACAAACTTAATAAATAATAGAATAATTCGAAAAAATTTAATAATTTATAAAAACTTGGAATTGGGAAGACAGGTATCCCTAACACCCTTTTATAACAATTGAGAGTAATAACAAAATCAAGGCTTAAATAATTCAATAAAAGAAGAGAAATGATATGTCTTTATAAGTCTTTTAAAGCCAATAAAGCAAATGACTAAACAATATAAACATGATACAATTGAAATCAAGACAATCAATTCCAACATCATCAATTCTTCTCTACACCTTAAAAAATTTTAAAGAGTGGAATGAGCTACACAACCCAGTAAGCAAATATATATCTTCTTAATCGAGGGTTAAATCTGTACATTATTTAATATCCATTATTATTCTAATAAACGGAACCCAATAAGAGAAAGTGTGATAAATTGAAGGTTTTTGTTGCGACAGCGGAAGCATATGAACATGGAGATTCAATGAAAGACAATAAAGCATTCATCACAAAAATTGGTATTAGAGTCCAAGACTTGTCTAACAAGAAATTTTAAACAAAATACAAATCTAAAATAAAAACCTAATTAGACTAGGAAATTTGAATATATAAATTCAATGAAATACAATAAAGCAATCATCACAACAATTTTAAATATATTATTTAATCTTTTACTAAATTATAAAAATCTAATGACCAATCTCAAGCAACAATAATTTAAACAAACATGAACAAGAAAGTGCCAAGGTATATACAAAATAGAGTTCTCACAAGGGTCCATACACCTTGTAAAAAGTCATTTAACAATCCACAATCCTAGCTTGTAAATGCTTGCACTACTTTTTTACAAGGTGCAATGCATACCATTGTAGTATAATTATTTACAAGGCTTCAATACGCACTGCAATAATATATGATTATTATTAATTACATCACCATTAAATAATGTTATTAACAACTGTAAGTGCACATTGTGCATCTAATTGGCATATTTACAAGATGCTGATGCCTGTTGTAAAAAATCTGTTTTTGTTTTTGTTTTTTTGTTTTTTTTAATATATTTAAAATAAAAGATAATAAAGTTGCTTTTGCCAATTGCTTTCATTAGAAGACACAATATACCAACTAAATGGACCATCCACAAGCATAACAAATAATACAAAAAGAAAAAAAAAGAAGTGATTCACATTAATATAAAAGCTACCATGTTCCAAATGATTAATAATTGTACAATGAAAACCAAAAATATTCACAGACTTCAACTTATCTAAACCAATACAAATAGTAAGCTAAAGACATCGAGTGATGCTAGAACTTATTATTTCCTCCTTTGTAACCAGGATCCTTTAAGAGCTAGTTACAAACCAACCATATATATATTTATATATATCTTACATAAATATATCTAAATAAATTCTTCAAAATTCAAACAAAAATTAAATTTCAGTATCAGCATAAGAAGTAAGGTTAAATAAACTAACCTTCCTTGAGGTTTGGCCTAATTACACTTTGATAAAACTTTTCAAAATTTTTGGACCGTTACTTATCAAAAATATATATATATATTTTTGCATCGTGTTCCCTCGGCATTTGTTGACTTGCTGCTATTACTCCCTTTGTTTAAAAAACGAAAAAAGAAAGAGAGAGAGAGGGAGATCTGATGAGAATGCCCCCCCTCTATCTAAAATGACTTTGCTAACCTTTATAATGTTGTGATGGTATCTTAACGCCGGTATTGTTGTGTTGTGTATAGCATGTTAATGAACAATCTTGCCACCACACCAACCTCCAATCCCGTAATTTTTCGTTAGAACATTCAAAGGTTCTTCTCTCTATCTCTCTCTATATAGGGGGGGTGTGTATGTGTGTGATTTTGTACTTGTAGCTGGCTGATCACTAGTTGGGAGTGGGCATCATGGGTGGGTAATGAACACAAAACTTAGGTGTTCATTTTATAAGGGTGGGCAATTTAGTCTTTTCATAATAAGAAATATTTTTGTATTTTTATGCTAAAATATTTGGGGGTATAAAGGTAATTTCACCTTAAAAGGTGAGGGGTGGTTATTGCAAGATTTTTGAAAAGTTTTATCTGAGTGTTATTAGACCAAAATGTCACAGAGAGGTCAGTGTACTTAACCCTAAGGCTTAGTTCGGTTAGATGGAAATAGCAAGAAAAGAAATGGAAAAATTTTAAAAATTTTAAGAGTGGTTAGCAAGAAAAGGAAAATTTTGTGAGAAAGTAATTTTCCATAACCACCCAACTTTCCCACAAAATTTTCCTACAAAAAACATAAGAAAATTTTGTTTTCGTGAGAAAACTATATGAAATTCCAATTATACCCCCCTTTTCAGTTTCTAAAATAAATTGTGTTTATGCAAGATTTTTGGTAAGAATATTGTAATAGTCACCCCTCTCTCTCTCCGTATCACAAAATTTTATTATTTAGATTCTTGGGTTAATTTTACTGACATCCCTTCAAGTTTGGCCAAATATCACCTTGAAACACCTTTCAAAATATACTATCACTCACACCCCAAATCACTTTTCCGTAATGACACCGTCAAAATGGGTGTAGAATGACATTTTTACACTTATTTTTTAAAACCTTTTAATTTAAAACATCATAATTGTATAATGACAAAATTACCCCCATCATCCTCACCTTCACGGTCACTCACACACACTCTCTTCCAGCGTCGGCCACCTCCTACCACCACACCACCATTGTTAGATGAATCAACCATTTACCTAATCTACCTCTTCTTTCATCTCCACCGCCTAATTCACTAGTCGTTGCCCTTTATCATCAATGCTTTTTTTTATTTTATTTTAATTATTATTATTTTTTTCCATAAAAAAACTCTTATGGTTTCTTTTCCTTTTCTTAAAAGGATTTGGAAAGAAAAAGAAAAATAGAGAAACCTTGGAATGCTATACATGAAATTTCCATGTTTGTTGAAGGTAGATAACCTAACTAATGAGAAAGTAGAGAGAAAATAGAATCCTATACATACATACATATATATATATATATATATATTCATGTATATATATACACATATACATATGCGTATGGTGTTTCTTTAGCGGTTTAGAAAATTCCTAGAAATTTCAATCTAGAACCCAAGCGGAGTCATCGATGCATGTCTTTGGATTTCTTATGGCATCTCAATTGGTTTCTTCAATTCGTCATCACAACTTTGGTCATTACCTTTGCATTGCTTCACCTAATGAAGAACACAACGTCGAAGTACTTCATCGTCGACGCCAATTTTGGGTCTTCTGACCACCAAGTTTATTAACCAAACCCAAATTTTTTCAAACTCTAATTTGCTCTCTTCGTCGATTGAATTCACAAACCCTAATTTTTCATTCAGGGTTTGTTCTTTGCAACATCAACACACGTTAAACTTCAACCTCCCAAAAGTCCAATAAGAACAATAAAAAATAGAATGAGATGCCCTGAATTTCTCTCTGTTTCCTTTTT